TATACATTCGTTTCTACATAAATACAAACTACGAGTTTAGGGCAACACACCCAACAAACCCCCACTTGAACTAAACTCGAGTGGGGTGTACATTATCATAAGACAAGAAGGAAAATATAATAAACTAGGGCATACACTATACCCATTACATTTCTCCCACTTGCCCTAGATTAATCGTAGAAAGCTCGTAAACCTAGACTTTCTTGATGGCGCTCAAACACTTTAGCCGTGAGTGCCTTCGTAAAAGGATCAGTAAGGTTGTGCTCCGAAGCGATCTATGTGACGATCAAATCTCCTCGTTGCACTATCTCCCGTATAAGGTTGTACTTCCTTTCGATGTGTTTGCCTCTCTTGTGGCTTCGAGTTTCTTTAGAATTCGTCACAGCACCACTGTTATCACAATAAAGTGTGATGGGCAAGTTGATGTTTAGAACGACTTCCAAATCTGTCAATAACTTTTTAAGCCAACCCGCCTCTTTTACTGCTTCACAAGCTGTAACGTACTCAGCCTCCATGGTGGAGTCAGCGATGCATAATTGTTTGATGCTTCGCCAAACTACCGCTCCTCCGTTAAGAGTGAATACTGACCCCGATGTGGATTTAGTTGAATCCTTGTCGGTTTGGAAGTCAGAGTCAGTGTATCATGTAAGGATCAAATCCTTGGAGCCATACACAAGCTTATAGTCCCTCGTTTTCCTAAGATACTTGAGGATTACCTTAACAATAGTCCAGTGATCATATCTTGGGTTGGATTGGTACCTATTGACAATCCCTACTGCATAGCAAATGTCAGGCCTAGTGCACATCATAGCATACATCAGGCTGCCCACTGCTGAAGCATAGGGTATACGTTTCATATCCTCAACCTTTTGAGGTGTTTCAGGACATTGTTCCTTAGATAGAAGAATTCCATGCCTGAAAGGTAATAAACCTTTCTTGGAATTCTGCATCAAATATTGAACAAGCATCTTGTCGATATAAGTTGCTTGAGATAGGGCTAACATTTTGTTCTTGTGATCCCTTAGAATTTGGATGCCAAGAACATACTGAGGTTCTCCCAAATCCTTCATTTGAAACTCAGTCACTAGCCACTTCTTTATATCAGTGAGGTATCCTACATTATTCCCAATGAGTAGGATATCATCCACATACAACACTAAGAAGGCTACAGTGTTGTTGACAAGCTTCTTGTATACAGAAAGTTCATCAACGTTTTGGTCAAAACCATTAGATTTGATCGCAGTATCAAACCTTATGTTCCAAGTTCGAGATACTTGTTTCAGTCCATATATGGACCGTTTAAGGTTGCAAACCTTTTGCTCTTGACCTTGTGCTATGAACCCTTCGGGTTGAGACATATAAATACTTTCTTCAAGATTGCCATTCAGAAAAGCAGTATTGACGTCCATTTGCCATATCTCATAGTCATCATATGTGGCAATGGACAAAAGTATTCTGATGGACTTAAGCGTAGCTACAGGGGAGAAGGTTTCTTCATATTCTACCCCTTCCCTTTGTGTGTAGCCTTTTGCCACAAGTCTCGCCTTATAGGTCTGTACCTTTCCTTCAGTGTCTCGTTTTCGCTTATCGATCCATTTGCACCCTATGGGTTTTACCTCGTCAGGTTGATCTACAAGTTCCCAAACGAAATTGAAGTACATCGACTCCATTTCCAGGTCCATTGCTTTGACCCATTTGTCCTTGTTAGTACTACATTTTTGTAGGTCAATGGATCATCGACACCATCATCAAGTATGACAACTTGGGTTTCAGTTAAACCAACGTAGCGGTCAGGTTGTGACTCAACCCTCCCACTACGTCGAGGCACCATCAATACTTGAGGTGGATGTGACTGACGTGATGTAATGGCTTCATCAACAACTCGTAATGTAGTGCCAGTTTGGTCAACAACTTTCGTTGATGTGTTTGTAGCCTCCTCAAAAATCTCGTTAATCACTACCTTACTCCGTGGTTTATGATCTCGAACGTGGTCTTCTTTCAAGAAAGTGGCATTTGTGGATACAAACACTCTGTTTTCTTGAAGATCGAAGAATAGACCACCTTACTCTGTTAATCACTACCTTACTCTGTTTTCTTTTCAAGGAAGCATGGTGAGAATTTTTCATAGTTTGTATTTCTAGCGGTTTAATTCTCTAATACGAGTGGGACTTTTTAGGTGGCTTTTAGTAATGGTTCCCGTTGGGATGTTGAAAATCCTGGGGCGTTACAAGCTTACTGTTATAGTTATAGAGAGGGAAGATCCTAAGACCATTAGGATATCTTGTGTTTTGGATATAGGATATCTTGTCCTGAATCTAGGGGAAATCCCAAGGCTATCAGGATATTTTTTTTTAACTAATAATTATTAATTTAATTAGTAATTAATTAATTTAATAAATTTAATTAATAATTATTAACCTAACTAATAATTAATTAATTTAAATCCAAAATTAATTAAATAATTAACAATTACTTGTTTAACTTTTAAGTAAATATCACATATTTAATTAAAAATATGTATTTGAATCATATCCAAATGCACCTCTCATGTATAACCTATAGTTTTAATATGAATCCAATTCATATTAATTATTTTAATCATATTCAAATATTTTCACATACCATATAGCTTAATTATTGAATCTTTATCAAAAAAGAAACTATATATATAATGTATCATAATATATGTTATATATATTCCCTGATATATAATTTGAACATTTCAAATTTTCTCAAAATCTTGATCATCGTTTTACCCGCTATAAGCTAGCAAGGAAACATAATAGACCTACAAATCAGAAGCTCCAACGATATAAGATTAATCAATCAAACTCATTAACCGGGTTAATTAACATTCGTTAACTACAGGTCACTCCACTAAAGACTTGCAACTGCACTCTTCTTACTGCTTAATATTTTCGTGTCCACGGATGTATAATCATTAACGGCAAGTCAATCCTTCACGAGTGCTCGTAACTCTAGCTGGATAAAATTGTCGTTTTACCCCTAAGTTACATCTTACTCCTTAAATACCACTGCTCCTCTAATGAACAATTCGGTTATGGTCCGACCAATAACCGAAAGTCCCTCTCGGGCCAATGAGAGGGTGGGGCCCCTTGTTCAAGTCCCGAATTCAGCATTTAAGGGAACACTCATCTACTCCCCTAAAGTCGGAGAGGAGTGAATTCCACCTTGTGAAGTTATGTTTCCAGCTCCCTACTTGGCCTCGTCCCCAAAATGGTAGGAATGTTGAGTCGGCAACTTGGGCCACTCTCACCCATACAGATCAAAGGACGAGCCCTCACGGGCATGAGTCCATAACTCACTCAGGATTGAGAATGAGTTGCCTGGTCATCCTAAGAAACAACAATCTATTAGTTAACGGTGTTACATCTAAAGATTGGCTATTTCGTGGTCCGGTCTTATACAAACTCATTGTATAGGATACCCCCACTCATATGTCTCCACACGAACGACCTCGATCGAGTCGTCTGTAACCTTTACAGAGTGGGTCGTATCCATAGTGTTGCCAGGATAAGGTACCCAACCTTATCCATATATTATAGACCCTTTAGGTTATTCACGGGACATTATCCACTTGTATATCAAACATATACCTCGTATATCACGGGTATATCAATTATATACCCAGTATATCAAATATATACCCAGTACATATATTGTCTCGGTTACACTAAAATAACCTCGGATGTTTAGTTTATTGGATTTTGGACAATGCAATGCTATGAATTCAACAACAAATTTATTGAATAAAACTTTATTGAATATACATTTGTTTTTACACAACATACAAACTACGAGTTTAGGGCAGCACACCCAACATTCCCAGCACTACTCCACAGGTAGGTAATGTTAAGATTCCTCCACCTTTCCCCTAAATGTTAGTTAAAAAGAATCAGGATAGTCATTTTAAGAAGTTCTTTGAGATTCTAAAACAGTTTCATATAAATATACCTTTCATAAATGCTTTAGAACAAATCCCTAACTACACTAAGTTTTTAAAAAACATCATATCTAAGCGTAAGAAGTTAGGTGAGCATGAGACGGTAGCTTTGACAAATTGTAGTAGTTATGCTCTAGGGAATCCATTGCCTGTTAAATATAAGGACCCAGGTAGTTTCACTATTCTTTGCTCGATAGGAGGTGAGAACCTAGGAAGAGCATTGTGTGACTTAGGAGCAAGCATTAATCTTATGCCTCTTTCTATCTTTAAAGAGTTAAATATAGGAGAAGCTCGTCCCACTACTGTCACTTTACAACTAGCTGATAGATCCATTAAGAAACCGGAAGGAAAAATAAAAGATGTGCTTGTTAAAGGTGATAAGTTTATTTTTCTCGCCGATTTCATAATTTTGGACTGTGAAGAAGATCTTGAGGTGCCGATCATTATTGGGAGGCCATTTTTAGCAACTGGAGATACGGTTTTCAATGTTAGGAAAGGAGAGATCATGATGAAGGTCAATGATGAGCAGGTAACCTTCAATGTCCTCGATGCGATGCGTCTCCTGGATGAAGTCGAAGAGTGCTCTACAATTGAGGCAATCATGGAGGAACTCCAACAAATGATGGTGGAAGACTTAGAAGCAGATTTGGAGGCCGTAGAAAAAGAATCCAAAATTGCTCCTGGCGCAATTTTGCCCCAATTTGAGCGTTTTGAGTTTTTGCAGCCGACAATAGCGGATTTGAAGGCCTTGCAACCTTCCATCATTGAACCTCCAGAATTGGAGAAGAAACCCCTACCTTCTCATTTAAAATATGTCTATTTGGGTTCAAACGATACTTTGCCCGTTATCATTTCTTCATATTTGTCTAATGAACATGAATCTTTGCTTTTGCAGGTTTTATCAAAGTACAAGAGGGCTATTGGATGGACCATAGCGGACATAAGAGGAATTAGCCCTACATTTTGCATGCACAAAATCATCCTGGAGGAAGGAGCCACCAATTCTATCGAGCGCCAAAGGAGGCTTAACCCGAAAATGAAAGAGGTGGTCAAAAAGGAGATCATAAAATGGTTAGATGTTGGAGTGATCTACCCCATCTCAGATAGCAGCTGGGTTAGCCCGGTTCAATGCGTTTCCAAGAAGGGTGGTATGACGGTGATTACAAACGACGACAACGAGTTGATCCCAACTAGAACGGTGACTGGTTGGAGAGTGTGTATAGACTACCGTCGGTTAAACAAGGTAACTCAAAAAGACCATTTTCCATTACCCTTTATTGACCAAATGCTTGATCATCTTGCAGGGAAATAATGCTATTGTTTCCTCGATGGGTATTCTGGTTACAACCAGATTACTATAGCTCCGGAGGATCAAGAAAAGACAACGTTCACGTGTCCTTATGGGACATTTGCGTTCCGGATAATGTCGTTCGGTCTTTGTACCAGAGATGCATGACCTGATAAGCGCCAAGGTTGCTCGGGTTTACAAAGCTAGAGGTCCTTCTAGGATCCTTGCAAACATTCACAAAAACGACTAACTTACCGAATGATTCCAACCAAGAGTAAGGTTAGAAGATGAATCACTCTTAGATCGGACTTAGAATCTATGATGGTCACTCCTAGATCCTAAGACGACTCACTCCAGAATTAGCTTGATCAAGACTAATCCAATGAATCAGTTTAACATCAAACCTAAAGCAAGATTTGAAAGAAGCAACACCAAAAGTGTTAAGGAACAAAAGTTCTTGAATTTCAATATGTTTTTTTAATCCTCCAAAACAAGGTGATTACAAGCCTTTAAATAGGCCAAATGGTCGTTCAACATGAGGAACACCAAAAGTCTTTCAAATCCTATTTAATGCAAATTGTAGAAAATAAGATATGCAAATTAAAACATGATTGCACATCAAACTAGACAACTAAATGTGAGTCCAAAAACGTAAAATTGCTTTAAATTGTCTTGGAAATCACATGTAGGAGGCGCTTTACGTTTGGATGAGATTTGACAAGCTTTGACATCACAAACTCCCAAGA